AAAAGCAACAGCCAGCTTGACAGCCACTAACACAGGTCTTCTGAGGTTTGCTTTCTGTGCTGATGAATTGATGTACAGTGCTGGTGCTGTACTACCCGTTGCAGTTCCTTTTCAGTAAACTTTTGATTTATTGTCATTTACCATGAAGTCAGATGCTGACCCCTGTGGAAGATAGTGGCAGTGATGACAAGAGCACACTGTAATGCCACCATGGTTTGAATTACATACCTTTGTTTGAATTTCTCTTTCCCTTCACAGTTCACCTGTCAACTCTGGATTAAAAATATTTAGGAAAGCCATGAGTGGGGAATGCAGACTGTTAGTACTAGCAAAAGAAATAAGAGCTAGGAGAAAGGTAAATGCATGACTTTGCAATGGTAGTGCTCAGGAACTCCAGGAAAGCAGAGAAGATGTTGAATATGTGTGTGAATTAGAAATAGCTATCTTCACCAAGGCCATGAGCATAAAGGGTTTTTTTCTGCTGGATAGGGAAAAAACTCCAAAAGACTGTGCAATAAAGGATGTGTAAGTGTCATTACTTTCTCAGCAATTAGAAAAATGAGAGAGAATAAATTAGAAAAGGGGGGGACTAAACACTCAAGATAAAGGAAAAAGTTTATGCCACCAGAAAGAAATAAACATAGCTAATATACTGAACATATTATTCCAAACATTTTTCATTCTCTCTTTTCCCTGTGCAATAATTTTATATAAAAATAAAATACAGCATCCTATTAAACATGGAAATATCTTCTCATTTGTAAGAAAAGCAAATAACCTACCTACCTTCAGAAATAAAAAAGCTCACATTACCTAATGATAAGGTGGCTAAACTGTGGCAGGGTTGCTCAGCCTGAGTTTATTTAGTCTTTGTCAAAGCAAATATCAATAACACATTTTTGTTTAAAATCTGACTTGGGGCACCTGCTTACCTATTTATAGCTGATGAAGCTCTCATAGAAAGCCACTGTCAGTACTGTCTTATCTTTCAGTGGGCAAAGAGCTGTTTACCTTGCACAAACCCAGCATTCCTTGCTTCCACAGGCAGTTTAATTAGGATACATGTTCAGAACAGAAGCAATGAATGGAGTGGTAAATAATAGTTGGTAGAGCAGTCTGAAGCATTTCATTATCAGTGACTTATTATAATCATTGTAATTAGAAAAGATAAAAGGTCAAACAGGACAGTAACATACAACAGGGGTTTGCTGCTCACCAGGTAATTTGTTTGAGATTGATGTCACCACACCACTCACAGTTGCATCAATTCAATCCTCTTAAAAAAAGCTCCTTGTGTATCAGCCTTAAAATGATCCAATTACCATTATGTTAACACAGGTCATTTGAGATGCTTTACGTGGATTTATCAATGTGCACAATTTCAATACTTGCATTTAACTGGCCAGTGGTTTAACCTGCTCTGGTGAATTCTGGCAGCATAAAGCTGTACCAGCCATCTATTTCGGTAATGATTTTAAAGAATCTGCAGTTCCTTCCATGTAGAAGTATCTGCTTTGCACAAAATATATACAACTGTAATCCTGGGACAAGGAGGTGAACTGTGGTGAGAAAAACAGCAAAAGTGATGGTGGTATGGAAAAGAAATCATTGTCTATAAGGAATTCCCATTACCACTGCAGTCCTCTCTCACCACTCAGCACTGCTGAGGGGATACTGTTGTGGGGATACTGCTTCCAAAACAAACTACCTTCTCCTATATTGAAGCTTTTCCTAATGCTCTGAACTTACAGTTGTGCTCAAGGACTCAGATCTACTTGAGGTTAGCTCTGAAACTTTAGAATTTCCAAAAAAATTAAAATTCAGCTTGGGATTAGCAGTGCCTTCCTTATTGTGCACCAGATATAAGGCTCCTATGAGGTTCATTCTCACAGCAACATTCAAACTGTTTTCAGATGTACATATGGCTATCCATATGTGTTTACCCAAAACCAACCACATGATGCCTTTCTGCTTCCCTTTCATTCTCTGAAAATAGTGATGGATTTATTTCATTTATTGACTGTTATTCCTTAGTATAATTTAAAACTGATAACATACCAAACACATCATTTGCACAATTCACTAACTTCAGTGTTATACCTTTAATTCCAGAAGGGTTACACAGTCTTATGCAGGTAGATTGAGGTATCATACTATTTCTTGACAAATTCCTGATTCTTCATAGGGATTTTTCTGCCTTTTTTACTTTCCAAGAATTACAGAATAAGCTCGGGGAATTCAGTACCTCAGAGTGCCAGACACAAGTTTCCCAACTCAGTCATTTTTTTGTTTATTTTAACACATTTCTGAAAATGTAATATAATCACTGTTCCACTTTCCTGAAAGGACATATGCTATTAATTAACATCAACTAAAGCTACTACTGACATGGAACAGTACAGGTCACCATGTCAGTAGAAAAGGGAATTTGGAAGCAAAACAATACAACACTAAAGGGGTGTCTGAAGCAACCATGAGAAAATTGCCTTGGCATCTACCACCGCACAGAACCAACCCCATCAAACAGGGAATATTCACAATCAGCTACTTTTGTCTTAGACACTGAATCTGTCACTTAGTACACACAGAGCAGGATATTCTTGCCAAATAGTATCAGTGACTTGTTAATCCAGTCACAGACAAAGGTCTTGCTCAGCCTTAATTAGGCCCTGATCTACTTTATTGCAAGTTGAACTTGCAGTGGTGATTTCTGCACTACAGTTTCATACTGCAAAGTTCTGGGCTGCAATTTTAGTGGGTATATAAGTGAGCAAAGACTGTGAGTGACCACAGAGCACCAGCATGTAGCTGGGGCAGGTCAAATATTGCCAGACCTTGATGTTGTATAACATATCAGTTATTGTCAAATAGTTTTTTTCTTCTTGGACTCTTTCACAACCAACGGATGAGATAAGAGGATTTATCTTGAAATCTTTTTATTGTGATTTCCCTGTCCTAGGGTAGCCTGACCTTCCACAGAGCCAAACACAATGTATTCAAGATTTGGCACAGTTTGAAAGCCAAGTTTTGCTCAGGCTGTACTACAGTGCCACATGTGATGAGAATGATCCCCCTTTTATGTGTTTTCTCTATTTGCTTGACTTTTTAATTTCTTAAACAGTGCAAAAATACTTGACGTAATTTTGAGACACACCAACTGAGGAAACAAGAATCACAGATTCATAGAATGAACTGGAGAGACCGGGAAGTGTCGCATGGCACATCCTGACAAAGGCTTTGTTAGCTGCATTTTATTAGATATTCCAAACCAGACAGAATTAATCAAGAACCTAAATATTGAAATTACTCTGCTAGCTTATTAATGCAAACATATAATAGAACATGAGCTAAGACAAAGAAATAACAAGTCTTTTAAAAGCTAACAGAGCCAAAGGGTGACCTCACTCACAAGATGCTGCCTGTAACCTGTATTCTGGGTTCAATTCCTGGCTCCACCTTAGACTTCCTCTGTGGGCTTTGCTGAAACGTATCTATGCCTCACTTCTCTATTAAAAACACAGTCCATTTGGAGTAAGGTTTGTCTTCCAACAAGAGCAAGTCAAACACTTAACACAGTAGCATTCTGGACTTAACAGCAATGTCAGTGCTGAACCATTCAAATGATGAGCAGCCCCTGTAACAACATAGCTGGTGTATATGTAACCATGGGCATCTCTTCTTTCTGAAAGCATCTGTACTGCCAGGGGTCTTAGGGTGTGTCTATTTAGTTATGTAAAAGTAACTTACACTCATAAGGGTTTTGTTTGCTGTTTGGGATTTGTTTTGTTTTGTTTTTAAAGCCAAAGTATTTCAGTTGATCTTTGCTTGAAGCAGCACAAGTTGGGTTTGGCTGACAGCTGTCAGAAACTTGCAAACAGCAATAAACTCTGTGATAATAACTATCATTTTTTAATTTTTTTTTTTTAAATATCCACTATTTTTGAGGGAAGACTATCTGTAGACTCTGGAAAATATTTAGTATCAGAGTCAGTTAATCTGCATGACCTGCTCTCTAAAGTCATAAGTCATTAATAAGGAAATTGTTCTTGCAGAACACACAAGTCCTGGCAAACCCAAAAGGTGCCTTGTAAAGGAGATTTCATACCATTGCTGTACCCTTAATATGGTCCAGAAATACAGCTTCAATTCTTGGATACATAAATATGCCAGTAACTGAAGAAGTGATATGAATTGTTGTTCCCTCTTGCACCCTTCTTAAACTCTTTGTACAGTTATTAATGTGCAATGGATCAGCACGTCTGGATTTTTGCAGATTTTTTTTTTCCCCTCACTAGTAGTTAAATACCATAGTTCCAAGCCAGATGGGGAGCTAGGTAACCTCTGAATATTTAAGATTTCTATGGTACAACAGAGTACTAGGCTATGTGTGTGTTTTCATATTTCTCTGTGATGTAAAAATTGTCTCAAAGAATTAAGCTTAATGTATAGAAAAAATTTCTAATTATTAATCTCAGAGATACAAATGAGTAATCTAAATTCACTTATTTTCTTAATGCATTACACTTTCTATTTACATAATTAATTAGTATTCAGAGTGCTTAAGTTTAGTTTCTGAGATATCTGAATAACTTTGCTCATTAGATATGTCACCTATTTATGGAAAGAAAATAACCTAAAGACTCCTCTGAATTTATAGTTATCTGCTATTTTCAGTCTCTCATTATTTTTGATATATGTTCACTAACCAGTATTATTTTAAATTGGAACTTTGTTAATTGAAAGAAGTGTGGTAGATTTCTTTTATATTAAAAAGGATCTAACATTTTTCATCTAACTCCCAACATTCTTACCTCTGTTTTATTATGCAAAGTCTGTATTAAATTAAGAATTGGTTGAGAAAACACTTGAAGATGGCTTATTTTTCAATTCCAAGACACTGATACATTGTGTTAGACACAAAAACTTGATATTTAATTGAAACTTTTTAAAAATTTAATCCCTATTGTGAATACTACTTTCTTCCTCTTTTCCCCTCCTAGGTGTGAGCTTCATACTTTATCCCTGAAACTAGGTTACAGTTGAAGAGATCAAGATGATTCCAAATTACCCCGCTGAAGAAAATGTTAAAAGAATCCACGTCGACTGTCCCGTTTCAGGGAGGCACAGTTACATCTACATTATGGTTCCGACCGTTTACAGCATCATCTTCGTCATAGGCATATTTGGGAACAGCCTGGTCGTTATTGTCATCTACTGCTACATGAAATTAAAAACAGTGGCCAGCATCTTTCTCCTAAACCTGGCGCTGGCTGACTTGTGCTTTTTGATAACTCTGCCCCTCTGGGCAGCCTACACGGCCATGGAGTACCAGTGGCCTTTCGGCAACTGTTTGTGCAAGTTGGCGTCAGCCGGGATAAGTTTCAACCTCTATGCCAGCGTGTTCCTGCTCACCTGCCTCAGCATCGACCGCTACCTGGCCATCGTGCACCCGGTGAAGTCCCGAATCCGCCGTACCATGTTTGTCGCCAGGATAACCTGCATTGCCATCTGGCTGCTCGCCGGCGTGGCCAGCCTGCCCGTCATCATCCACCGCAACATCTTCTTTGCCGAGAACTTGAACATGACGGTCTGTGGTTTTCGGTATGACAACAATAACACAACGCTCCGGGTCGGATTGGGTTTGTCCAAAAATTTGCTGGGCTTTTTAATTCCTTTTCTGATCATATTAACGAGCTACACCTTAATTTGGAAGACCTTGAAGAAGGCGTATCAAATTCAAAAAAATAAGACTAGAAATGATGATATTTTTAAGATGATTGTGGCAATAGTGTTTTTCTTCTTCTTTTCCTGGGTTCCTCATCAAGTGTTCACTTTTCTGGATGTGTTAATTCAGTTACATGTAATAACAGACTGCAAAATCACCGATATTGTGGACACGGCTATGCCCTTCACCATTTGTATTGCCTACTTTAACAACTGTCTGAATCCCTTTTTTTATGTTTTTTTTGGAAAAAACTTTAAAAAATACTTCCTTCAGCTAATTAAATACATTCCACCGAATGTCAGCACACATCCAAGCCTAACGACAAAAATGAGCTCCCTCTCATATCGGCCACCAGAGAATATACGTTTGCACACTAAAAAAACTGCTGGGCCTTTCGACACCGATTGATGCGTTTTGCAGTACACTCATTTTGAACAACCTTGAGTACGAAGCAGCAAGAATGACAAGACTCATTTGCAGTCCTGAACATCACAGCTTACTGCTCATTGCAGAGACATTAGATCATCTCAGAGAAGTCATACTGTAAAGATTTAGCAGTGGCCTTCCATCTTACACTGTGAAGAGGACTGTTTGGTTTTCATTTTGTTTTTCTTTACTGAAAGCAACATAAAATGGTGGACAGGCATGTCAGAGTTCCTGCCAGCGTCCTGCTGTTTACTCAGAACTACAAAAGAAGGGTACAGAAAACTCCTATCTTAAGTTCAGAGGTGTTTTAAAAGGAAAAGCTCGTATAAATTATATGAAATACAAAGAAGCTGTTTTGCATATATGTGAGCAATTTTGTTCAGGGAGTTAGTAGAGCTATGTTGCTTCTTGGTTTTTTTTAATGACATAAATGTCCTATCATCATATTTATAATATATTTTCAAATATATTCTATATATAGAGGCCCAATTTTAAACTCAAATGGAAATTGAAGGTCTTTGAAATTGTTCTCATTCTGATTTATGCTACTATTTTTCTTTTTTTTTAATGGTAATTTTTTCATAAAAATATATGCAATAAAATGCAGATTTATTTATTAAATATAGAGGAAATATATTTTTAGATTTATATTCCTACTCATACATTTCAAACATGGCTTCAGAAATGTACATTTATATCCCAGTGTGTATTTTTATAGTGGTTTAAAAAATAACTATATGTGTGTGCGCACAAAAATGGGGTTCACTCAGCCTTCCCTTCCGATAAGCCACACTGACTTTGAAGAACTTTACATACAGAGGGAGTTGACTCCATAGTCTGTATGACCAAAAGTAAAATTCTCTATTTGAAAACATGAGTTCAGGGAAAGAGCTGATCAGAAAATTTCAAACTATTTTTGTATAAGAACCAGGGCGTTCAGAGAAAGAAATGACCAGCTAATCAAATCTACTTAGTTTATAAAATTCCTGCACATTTAGTAACTCACATTCTGATAAGCAAAAACATGACAGTGCTCATATATCAGTTTAACTAATAACACTTTTAGTCCCATCACAAAACATCCAAGATCAAACTTTACTCTTGGCTTTTATGGAGTTTCTCTTCATTTATACAAAACTGTGCCTAGAGTATTTGCTCCCTGTAGAAACTTTTTTATGTGTATGGAACAAATTCAAATTTATACTAGCATAAATCAGAACTGAAGTCTGGCTCAAGGTCTCAATACAAATAAGGGGGGAAGGTGATAATCACTGTAGGAAGTTTCAACTAATGATATCGTCATTTGTCCTTTTTACCTCAAATAATGATCTCCAGATAATATTTATTCTTGATTGACACCCATTTACTGTCTTCAGAGATAAAGTTCATAAATACTTTTTGGCATTACAAAACTTTAGAAAAATTCCAAAACTTTCCATATATCATGTAGACAATTACATGACCCTTGAGAATTTGCAGTATTTATAATCTCCAGAAATTTACATCTAATGTGGCTCTGTCTCAAGTAGCAAGTGCTTGGAGTATCAATGTTTTCTGATGAGCAAAATCAAAACACAGCAAAAAAAAAAAAAGTTATTTCTGTAGTTTAAAACTTTTCACGGAAAAATGGGACTACCACCAGGTCTAGGAATCTTAGTGCTCTTTCATTCACTTACTTTAAAGAAAATTTTTTTCAGTTTTGCCTTTTTTCTTCTAGCTGCAAAATGGGAATAATGTATGTGTCTACTGATATATGCCACAAGACATGGTGAGGAGTCACTGAGACTTCTAAAGCTGTATGTTAAAAAAATGCTCTTTCATTAAAGGTTTAAGTTAATTGCAAGCTAGTATCTCAAAATTTGAAGCCTGAACGTGTCATTTAAAGACATAGTTAAATTATTATACAGAATACTTCATAGTTAGCTTATGTCTGTCCTTACATGCAAGCCAGCCATTAGTTTAAAATGAATATGGCAATAACCTGTGCATTATCAACAGCATCCAGAGCAGTACCAGTGCCCCAGCTCTCTGTAAGCTGACAAAGGACTGACAGAGCTTGCCATTTATCTCTATGATATTTTTTTCATATACACACATGCATGTGCTAAGCAGCATCAGGAGCTTACCCTTGCAGAAGCATCTCTGTTCAGCTGTAATTCAGTGTGCTGTGCTTGCCACCTGCTGGATGCAGCCACAAATATGTTTTTCATCTCAAAAGTTGTTATAGGAAGAGACAGCAACATTTCCCTGCCACCTGATGGATCTGGAGATCCTTAGCTGTGGCAAAAATTCTGTAGAAATTAAGTACAAACTTGCCCATCTGGGAGACAGTTAACTTCCTTGGCAGGGTCTAAGCAAGCATTTCCTCATCACCTGCTCATCTCTTTGGTCACTGAAACCCAATGTCCCCAGTGACTGCAATAGGCAGCTCGTTTGCAAAATGTTGACTGCATTAGTATAAGAGCCATCTCAAAGAAGAAATAAAAATCAAAGCCATTGGTTACTGATTTTGCTCATTTCATACCAGATGCTGTATTTTTAAAAGACTGTGTATCCTAGGCTGCTGGTGCCACCTGTGCCTATTTGGGTCATGGGAAGAAGCACAAGGCTGGGTTGCTGCAGGAAAGGTAGGAAGGGATTGCAGCTGGTGTGCTTTGAGGGCAAGACTGACCTTGAATTAATAGGCAAAGAAAGCAGAGGGCAAAGCTGATGTTAAATAATGCTGGGAAATTTTTGTTCTGCTAAGGAGTAGGAAATCAGCTGCCAAGAATAGTGGATTCTAGTTTAGTGTTCCCTTAAAAGGAAAAAGGTAAATCAACAAATACTAAAAAGTATCCAGAGACAAAACGCTTCAGGAACTCTAACTGGGTAGTGGCAGGAAGCAGACTTTCGGAGCACAGAGTTAGTGTGTACAGCCACCTCCTGCAGTTCCAGGCATCCCCACAATGCCCAAAACTGACAGCTAATAGAAGAGCTCCCATTTCCCTAAGGACACCCACACCACCTCCATCACGTATCCAGCTGCAACCAAGGGAGGACCAGAGAAACAAGTTGTTGCTGAGCCCTAAACTCCCCTGCCCACCTATGAGCTGAAAATGCTGTGCTGGACCCTGTGCACGGGGCACTGGAGAGCACATGGAGACAGAGGGAATGGTCTGGCCTTTGCTCTGGACCTTTGCCTGTGTGGTCCCTACTGAGCACAAGTAGGAGATGGCCAGAATATCCTTTGATTCAAGGAGCTACCTGGTACCAACAGAGGAGAAGGGAGTAAGATTTGGCTCTTGACATTTGGGGAACTCTGGGTTGAGCCCGCTCAGAACAGAACTAGCTGCAGATGTTTGAGAACAAACTCCCACTATCTTAAAGAACACAAAGTTAATTAAGATGTAATAGTATGCTATTATTTTTAAAAGGAGTATCCACAGTGCTTTCACTCACGATGACTAAAGTAAAATAGATGACAAACTCTTAGTCTATCCTGTGCTCTCCTGGTGTGAGGAACTCAAGTCAGTACTAATGGGGACAGCATAGAGACCTAAATGCAGGCATCACAACTCCTGCCACAGTGATATTCTGTTGATTTATTTGAATAAACTTTGTTTTCTGCTGAATAATTACTAAATCACATTTGACACGCATATGCATAATATTTATTTCTATTTATTGTGCAATAGTATTTTATATGACTCCTGTTTCATGCTCGGCTACCTGCTTCCCCACTATATGCCCATCCTAAATCAAACTATATAATCCACACTAGTTAGCCCAAATTCCAACAAAACCACTATAGATACAGTGGGAATTAATCTGGCTTCTTGCTGTAACAATTTCCTCATGTTTACATTGTTAACCAACAGGTTGCAGAGTAAGCACAAGGCCAAAAGTCTTTCATCAGCATTACTATTTAGGTGATAGTTTCCATCATCTACTTGAAATTGTGACAGCAGCAGAGGATACAGTAGGATTCCCAGGTTTTGTTTAGTTTTGCTTGAATAGCTTCAGCAAAGGTTTCTCTTACTGACCTCATTTTTAGGTATACTAAAGTGCAAGTGTTCCCAGGGAGATATTTGCTACTGAAAGGAGAAATAAATACTTGGGAGAGGGTGGTAGGAAGCCTAAAGCAGGGACTTGCTGATTTTGGAAATATAAAGTGTTAAATGTAAATATTTATTTTTATTTTTGCAACAGATTGGAGGCAGGGGGAGGGCACAAAAAAAAAAAAATCTTTCAGCTTAGTTAAATCTTCCAGAAAGTTTTGAGAGGTTCTTTTTAAGTTTCCTAATAACATCCTGCTCAGTTTGGAACATGTCATAATACCATTCTTACACTGCTCACAAAGTCAGGGTCTCCAGCTCTGCTCTTGTGCATCACATTACAGGCTTGGCCAGACCATCATCCCACCAGCTTGTGCAAAGTGGAGGCTGCTCTATCAGTCACTGAGTCCACCTCAACAGCGACCTCACAACCAAGGCTGAACTAACAAATCCTCGGAGTTAACAGCAAAGCCATCAAGCTCATTGTCACCAGAGAGCTCTGCAGATGTGACTCTGCACTGCAGGGACAGGCACAGACCATGTCTGAGAACAGCATTGTGGGATCTTTTTAGTGGACCAGTGCCACAGCCTGCAGTTTTGTACTCCAGTAATTTAAGTAACAAAACTAGGTTTTATTTTCTTTTCAATATTTTTGTGCAGTTGTAACTTGTGAAGCGGTGGATGTCAACATTTTCTGTTTCAATAGAGATAGTTTTACATTGTAGAAGTTTACTACAACTATAAAACAACTTTTATTGTCTGAAGTGTTACTAAAAACATACATGTGATCAATAAATGTGTTTGTGAAAACCATCTCCACTGCTGTATTAGACCACTCAAAGCAAAGAGAAATGGTTCTATATCATTGTTAAGTACTACACTATTATCAGTGTACCTTTAGCTCTCTCTCTCTCTCTCTCTCTCTCTCTCAGGTAATATCATCCTCACCAAAGTATTCCTGTTTAATGCTGTAATATATTATACCATTATTCCTCATTCCTTTTAATCCAAATTCTAACCCAGCTCTCCCTAAAATCTTTGAGATTAACAGGCTGTGTTTGCAACTCATAGTGGAAAGGATACCCAGCTAGCTTCAAAATCACAGGTAGAACAGCAGTTCAGTGATTCATTTCTGTTTCTCAGAACTGGCTAAGTTAATAAAGTTTCCTTGGAGTGGATACTTAACAAATTGCTATTTTCCTTATATACAGGTCAGAGTTTAAAGTCAAATTTAGGCTTAACCTTTTAGAAGCTAAATTGAATTTTAGAGATAGATTTAGCTAGAATATTGTATTAAATACAGGATCACATTACATTATAAATAATGGCCCTGAAAAGCCAGACTCAGCTTGCCTGTAGCTGAGTATTCAATGTAAATATATCCATTTACTTTGAATATAAGCAGTGCCACATTGTACAGTGGCTTCAGCGGAAACAGGATCAGGTTTCAGTGAGAGAACTGGTGCCCACCCCACTTCATACTCTGTCTTATAATGTCACACACTGGGAAAAAAAACAAAACAGTTAAAAGCTGGGCATGTGAAATTCTTATAGCTTATCTACTGAATAACTTATTTTCCA